GAGCATACTGATCGGCAATCTGTCAGAAGCTGAGCTCTGGCATCGTGGTTACGCACGCGACAACGTCAATTTCAAAGTCTTCATCGACGATTGCCTTCGTGGTACGTCTTGGAAGGTGCACAGAGACTGTTGTATAAAAGCGTCCAAATAGGTTTATGAAAGTGGGCCTTCTTGGAAGCGGACAATGTGGGGGGGCGAGACGTGCGAAGCTTCATTGTTACCGAAGCATGGTCATTCATTTCAGCCAATGCAAGCACTGCATCAACATTTTTTGGTAGAATACTTCACGCCAGAAGCAGCCATATAAGCTAGAATTGACTTTCCATTGATTTCTCTAGTAGACTTTCCCTGTAGAGACGCTGTGCTACCGGAGGCACCCCGGTACAGGACTGGTAAGCTAACGCGTTCACAAGATGTCTCTATGTGACCTAAATTTACAAAAACTGTAGCGAAACATGATCTCCTGTTATCGCGTTCATCAGAATCATGCGTAAGGCTCATGGTGCACTGCGCTGTCACAATGTGATTTCGCTGGCCGAGAGAAAAGTGTGATTGTTATAACGTATGCCTACACTTCCACCCTCTGTACACACTAAATACCACACGCAACAGATGCGTCACTTTAGGGAAGAGCTTTGCGTGGACCCTCTTGCTTGCGTAATCATGCAAAATACAATTAAACTTCGGAACCGGATATCTCGGAACACAGACGCGCTAGAAAAAAAATTTCGAACTGAAATTGTGTACAAACATCACTGTCTACAATTTTAAACTTACTGCCAACTTACTGTAGCCTGTAAAAAGTTAAGATATAAATTTTATTTATTTGGGCTGCAGACAGCGTCAGTAATTATCTTGCTTTCTCTACCCCTCGGCCCTTTAACCTATTTGCACAAGCGGTTTTCACGTGCCTTTGAACGCCTAATAAAAAATCATAAAATTTATCTTCGAACACCCACGGTGTATTACGGCTGTTTATCTTAATTTTGTTTGTATCTTTTGTTTTTCTAACCAGCTCAGGTAGTTGGCTATTATTAGAAAAGAAATCAAAATGTCCAACTGCAAGTTCAACAGAAAAAAATAATTAGGAGGAAGGTATTGAAACAATTCAAGTAAAGTTATCGAGAGCTTTTGAAGGAACCCATCACTGAGTTCACATCAGCAATAAAAGAATCAAACAATAACATTGGTAAAAGAATTCTAAAGTATATAAGGAAAGGTACATAATATTTCAAAAAGATAAAATCTGAGCAGCGAAAGAGCAGCCAATTGTGGTAGCGATTATTCACTCTGAACAGTTAGTAGTGTTCCCAACGCTAGTCGGACATTATAATAAAGTACTTACAGCTGTTTAAATAAAAAAGCTATTGTTCAATTGTTATTCGCCTTGTAAGAAACAATTAGAGCCGAGGTTCATTAAGATAGAAGAAATAATGCACTTCGCCACTACAGATGACATTTTGATAACAGGAGATTTGAATGCTAAAAGAAAAAAAAATGTGGGAAGGAGAGCACTCAAAAAACAGAGGAGGAGTAACTGAATTTGTGATTAGCAAAAACCCTATTATAATAAATGGTAAAGCTAGAGAAATTACATTCGATTGTAACAGAGAGAAAAGTTGGATCGACTTATCCATATTTAGGGCAATAATGTACGCGAAACAGTGAAAGGTCTTGAAAGCTAACACATGCAGTATGATAAATACATAAAAATCAAGTTACTTGGTCTTGAGAGATTACCTCTATTCAAGGAAAACAAGAAGAAGCTTAGGCATTACCACGGTGCATTAATACTTTAGGTGGGTGAACGCCGAGACTATCCGCTGCCCGACAACGTTCTGCTTAGCTAAAATTGCCCGCAGCTTCCCTCGGGGGAACACTGAGGAGGATGCGGAAGCGGTTCCGCCAACAGTTTGGCCGGCGCTGGTCGAAGGGACGTCGATCATTCTGTTTGTGGATTCGTTGGCATTCATTTCACGGCGACTTCGGACGTCGACGCGCCGTACAAACCAACGGACGAGCGGCAACTGAGCGAGCGAGCGCCGACCTTGAGTATATATACAGCGCGACGGCGCATGCGCTGTCAGCTGTCTCATGTTCTCGAAGGAGAAGCGCGCGCGCGGCACAGATGGCGACGGCGCGACGGCGCATGCGCTGTCAGCTGTCGAATGTTCTCGAAGGAGAAGCGCGCGCGGCACAGATGGTGGGCGACGGCGCGACGGCGCATGCGCGCGCGTCAGCTGTCGAATGTTTGAGAAGCGGTGCGGACGGCGCGGACGGCGCACTACAAGGCGTGAGTATAAGATGCTTCCGCATCTAAAACCTGGGAGATGGCGCTACAAACTTTGCCCCGCTAAAGATCGAAGATGAAGGGGCTTTATGCCCCGACTTCCCCTTCCCCTTCTCGGTGTAGGAAAGCCCTGTGATGTAGGAAAGTAGTGGTTCTCATTCATCATCGCCACAACACCCTCGCCACACCATCAATCTCGTCCCTTATCACCGCCTCTTTCGCAGCGCCGCTCTATGCGTGTCACGTGGTGGATATCACGTGATTACCCGGTTTTCTGAGATTATGAAACCATCGTCCAGGGGCCGGATGTGCTTTGCAGAATTTCTCAGCAGCCCGCCACGCACCTCAGTCTGGCGAACCATCTATTGGCACGCCGCGAACGAGAACATAATCAGTCCCTCCCCGCCAAACGCTCGCTCTGCGGCGTTCGCTCACCTAAAGTATTCTTGCAGCGTGGACAACAGGTACTATTGAAGTACATTAGAAAAAGAAGTAAAGCGGGTAGAGACACCAGATCCCTTAAAATCCTTCGTCAATAAAGTCTACTATACGCTTGAAAAACTATGCACAAAGTATCTAAAAAACATTACTGGGCAAATATATCAGGAAAAAATGTGCTGGTCACTGGAATTGAATATTCAAACAAAAAAGCACGCTCTATGAAACGACCGTATAAGTAAAGAACATATACGCCAAATACTCAAAAAGGCATATTACGAAAAACATTATTGACATATAAAAATATTAAGACGTTTGTGTTACCTCTCTAGATTTCACAACGCGTCTCCAATGATTGAAAGAAGTTGTCACACATGCGAGCGTTGCCGGCTGATTTGCAGCACGGTGACTCACAATCTCAGGTTATATCGCGTGCAAGAAGGCAATGCCTCCAGATTGGGCCAAGCTTCGGCTTGTGGCTCAATTTCGGAAGCCTGTGTCCATTAAATAACTGCGCAGTTTTGTAGTCCCATGCTTCTACTTTGAGAAATTCGTACGAAGTTTTGCGAGGATCATAAAAGGGATGACGAAGTTCCGTCAATGTAAAGGGCTGCTCATTAAGTGGTCCTCCAAATGCGATGAAGCGTTCGCAATGCACCACCATTTGTTGAGGTCTCCTCCCATACTACGCTACTGCGACCCTACGGCTCGAACGAAGGCGCACACGTACGCCAGCAGTGTAGGCCTCGGAGGTGCTACGGCGCAGGGCTAACGAGGATTCTCCAAATATGTCTACGCTACTACGACCCGACGGCTCGAACGAAAGCGCACACGGACGCCAGCAGTGTAGGCCTCGGAGGTGCTCCGGCGCAGGGCTAACCAGGATTCTTGAAGTATGTCGTAGCAAATGCAAGCCGTACGCTCACGAGAGCCGAGACGACTTACACCGTCAAAAAATAGAGAGCCTGGTGATTGTTTATACAAAGTTTCGACCACATTTGTATGGTCGCCTGTTCGATGTCGTCAACGATAATGACGCATTATGCTGACTGACAACATTGAAGGATACCTCAGGCCGTCAAGCCTGCTAGGCTCTTCGCTAGCCCCAGCATTACATACGGGCTCCCTGCCCTTTGCTTGGTATCCCTGGTTTCTGCTTGCTCAGTATCCTTCATCGCCGTTTCTCTGGTCATTATTTACATCAGCGTTACCGAACAGCGAAAGAGTTTTTGAATCACTCGCATTTTAATTCATCTGCAGCTCCATGCACTCGCGCCTCGTATTGTTAAGCTCACTAATTCAGCATACGTGATGGCCTCTTGCAGCAGCTCAGTTACCACACCAATGGTCGGCAGTGGCTACTCGTAATACCACGCAGTCTGCGTTCGTAAATACATGAGTCCTTCCACTATAATCTGCAATAGTTGCACTCTGCGGTATCCAAAAGTTGCCCCGTATTCAGAAATGCTGCTTCTGGCGAGGGAGGCACCACTCCTTTTGTTCGCTCCTATCTCGATCGCCGATGCCGGGAGCCATCAACACACATGTTGCGAGCCGTTACTTTCATTCGGTCTACTCATGTGTTTATGCACGAATCCCCTATACGTCGGCTGCTAACAGCTGTGCTATCATCACTGTCGAGCGTTTAACACAATACACCAAAAGAACCGATCATCCTGCGGGTTCTGCACGCGATGTTGTTTAATTCCTTCTGCCCTAGTTCATACTGCGTCATGGTACACCCCAGGAGCTACTCTGCGATCGAGGCAATGTCTTCCTGGCGGCAGTTGTCAAAGCCATTCTGAAGGAGTGCTATTCTGTTCGCTAAAAAACGTACTGCTCACAACCTGCAGAAGTGGCCTCACCAAACCGCACACTCGGCGACATGCTTTCGTTGTACATCGCCACTGACCAAACGCCTTGGGACGCTATACTGCCTTTCGTCACGTACGCCTATAATACGATATCCTCCAGCACTGCTATTTTTTCGCCCTTGTTCCTCATGATGCGTGCATATCTTATGCTTGACTATACACTTTATTGCATTTAAACTACTGTCTGTGAATAAGTAGTTCAGTTTCTTTCTTCGATTGTTCTGCGTATCATTGTTTCCTTAATTACTTGCCTAACATCGAATTCTGCTTAATTGAAGTAGGCAAATAATTCAGCTCATATGAAATAAGATATGTACACATATAAACAAATACATGCTGACGGTAGTACTAATATATAAAGCATTGTGACAAAATGAGCTTCAGAAGAAACCTCTTACTTCCTTCAATAGCATTGGCAGAGACTCTGACAACTTCGTCCTTGACAACTACTTCGAATTCGGCGTTTTCTTTTCTGCAAAGAAAAAAAAATGTTGAATGGTTTTGGCACAGGTTACAGAAAACTCAAGTGTTCTTTCGACCTTCATTCCTATGCGATATTATTTACAGAAAACTCTTTGCATTGATTTGTGTTTCGGCACACACGAATCGCATATGCAGTCGCAGTAAAAATGCGTGCTCGAACTATTTCCGAGGCTACACGAAAGCAAAACATTTCCTAAGCATAATAGAAGTGTTTTTTGTTTTCAGCTAAGAAAGCAGGGGCGCTATTTAGGATCAGCTGAGTTTCGCGAAACTCGGCATCTTCCCGAGCTCTGGTGACAACCCCTAAAGAACGAGCCATTCGTTTTGATGGAACCAGTCATCGCGTCAAAGACAGCTAAGTTGGTTGGTGTCTTCAAACCACAGGCTTCTTATTTCATCTGTTAGTCGTTCCACTGAGAACAGAAGTGCACCCATGCAATAAATGTGTGAGAAACATTTCGTGATAATATTTTCAAAGGCACGTGTTGTTTGAATTGACTTTGAAGCTTTTAACGCCTGCACTAATGTTTTTTAAAATAATTTGCATGGTGGCTCCTGAGATCAGGACCGGCCGAGGGTCTTACAACAACGCGACCATAGGTTAGACCGAGGCCATTTATTAATCATCATGGTCAGCCTGTGCATTCTAGTGTGCTGCTCGGCCGGAGTGAGTCGTCGTTGTTGTCATCGCCCGCTAGCACCTGAGCATGTGCGGCTGGTTAATTAGCTATTAGTGACGAAGCTCCTAAAGCCGTGGGTCTATCCCTAACTGGTCTGTAGGACGTTACAGCCAAGTTAATTACTCACTCAGCAGGTGTTGATGGACGAACGGATGGAGAGACAGACGGGCAGACAGGCAGACAGACAGATGAATGGACGGACGTTTCATAGTTTACGGATAAACTCTCCGAAGCGTCGTCCCACTCATCATCATTCACTTCGTGGATATATGCTGTGATTTTTCGGCTGGACATCATACTTGACTTGTTAGTCCAGGATGTGCTATGAGCAAGCTAATTACGCAAGCCATGGTAAAGCCGAGATAATTCAGCCACATCTTAATAATACCATGCTAATGAAGCCATGTAAAGCTAGAACCTGGCTAACTAAAGCACGCCATTTGATGAGCTAACGAAACTCTGTTAATTACCACGACGTTACTCATGAGTAGGTTGAGTAAAACCATGCTGATCAGACCTTACTAATATGATGACAATTAGTATCCTGATAATCAGAATTAAGTTTAATAGCTCGACATTGATCACGGCCTCGACAACTGAGACTGAGATAATTACCGTTTAATAAAAGCTCATCAATGAAGACAAGGCAGCTCAGTGTAATGGTTGTTAAGCGTGAGCCAATTAGCACAATCAAAATTACGACAGAACTGATACGGTCGTTACTTCGAAGCTGACCAAGTACATAAGAAGACAATCAACTTAAAAGGTGCAAAAATTTAGGTTATGACAAACTCCTCTATGGCTTCAGCCTTGCATAAATAGCGGAAGCTCACTAAATTATTTTATATGCAAAGAAGCTGCCAGTCAGTGTTCATTGCATGAAACACTTGACAGTCGCACCGGCACCTTTAGAGTTCAGAGTTGATATCAGGCCTCAGAATCAACAAGTTTGTATGCGAGTTCACGCGTTCATCAGTTTGATTGACAGATGCTTGCCACGAATATCGGGTAGGTCCACCAAGTTTTCTGTTGCCGAGGAGCAGTACTGACGTCGAGCGGCGCGACTAACCTATCAGCTGTATTGCGCAGACTATGCACACACACACGCTGAAGTAAAAAGATATCAAGAAGCGGCTACGATGCCATGTAATAAATTTCACCACGTTCACGACATATCCAATCACAGCCGCGTTGCCGACAAGACGCCAGCGCCCCTGGTGACGCCCTGTTTTTACATATATCTGCAATACTTGATTGAAGCATAACGAGTAGCACGATAGTGCTGCATGTGCACCCTTGCTGCCTTCGAGAGTTGATATTTAAATGCAGCAGGTGGAACGAAAGAACCTGTGCCAAAGAGGACATATGCCTATTGACACACTAGTAGGAGGCGTGGGTTAAGTTGACAAAAATACAGCACGATAAACACGCTAACGTCACTGCACTACTAAAATCTTTTATGGGTGGCGGCGCTGACGTGCTCACACGCGGTGCTTATTTGATAACCATTTAAAGTGTCCCAAAGTGTTTTTTTACTGCCACGCGCGTCATTTTTGTCAACGCTGATATCACGCTCTCCGCACTGTCTTCATGTCACGGCCACCACAAGCGAGCTCAGAGAAAACTCGGCTGCCCGAGAAGCTCTGGCCATCTTGCATTGTACCCCAGTTGTTGTGTTGAGCCTCCGCCCCATCCCTGCACAACGGCCCGGAAGTATTCTTCAATAAATTACGCATTTCCTATTTCGTTAGAATAATAGAAGTTGTAATGGGCCGCATGAGTGCTAAGATGATATGTTGCTTTGTGCATCAGTGTGCGTGTGTTTGTGTGTTTACACTTTGTCTCGCATTTGTCGGTTTTCTGTAGGACCCTTTAAAACGTTTCGTTTCGCCGTTTCGACAGATATTTTGTAAGTGTAATGAGCCTATATGCATAACAAACACCAAGGATATACGCCTCGTTCTGTTTATTTTCATGCAGCTCATCTCGCATGAGCGTAAGTTGCCTGAACACGCAGGCTTTTACAGCCAACTACTGTTCCAGTTTCCTCAACTCTCCTCTGAAGTAAAGGTTATAACGTTGCTCTGGAATTCCCGGTGCCCAAGGAGCACGGAATATATAAATGGTCTTTCGGCTATTCATGTGTAGGGACGTATTATAAGTACAGTGACTATTGTGCAGGTACTTTTTTGTCCTATTCACATAGACAACCTGCAATACTTAAGCTGTAAATATATGAAAAGAAGGTGCCGCCGAACACTCAGTCTTCTGAATAGATCGTGTGCAGCATGGATGCAATGAGGGTAGGTTTATTACCTGCCGGAAATGCAGTGGATACTGCTTATGTATTGTTTCAACACAAAAATTCAGAAGCACTTCTCTATCAAAAATATGGGGAAGCGTAGGTTCCGCGATAAACTTGGGAAACAGTGCTTTGAAAGAAGCCGAAGGAAGAAAGCGACACAAATGCACCGAAATTGCAAGAGTGTATAAGTCTTGTTTCATGTATTATCATGAAACCCCATATAGTCGCCTAATCTACCTGTATTCTTCGACGTTAGGTTCTTGGTAGTGTGCGCCTAACTTAAAGTTGTTCTTTAGCTTTTCTTGGCGATCCTGTTGTAGCTCGATGTAGCGGATGCTGTGTTACCAGAAAAATATCATGACTCCGGCACATGCTCTGTTCATTGATTTCTTCATAATCCTTGCCTTCATGGTCATATGGTTCACTTTCAATGCACAAATATGAATTTCGACAGCTCAAAAAGCAACAACTCTCAAAAGCACAAGACAGTGGAACAAGGTGCGCACAAGACAGTGTAACCGCCCTCTCCTACAGTCAACTACTCCAAGGCCTAATTCCTCAGCACCAACGACCTGCATGCGAACACCCGAGCGATCGTGTGGGAGGAGCTGCGCAAGATGTTACCTTCGCCCCAATTTCGAGTGAATTCAATCGCCGACATTGGCGGTGAGGAAGTTAGACAATTCCTTGGAACCCCTGAAGCACCGCAGCCTGGGGGGAAGCTATGAGCTACGCTGCTACAGTCCGCCATCACGCTGCTGAAAGGCCATGTCAAGACGTTGCCTTACCACAGTTCCACCACCAGACTCCACCGGCACCACCACCGACGCTATACGACCTACCTGCCACTAAGCGCTACGCTCTCAGGAAGGCCAACGTCTTACGCGCCCCTAACCGCCACCCCCTATGCGACTGCTGCGGTTAAGCCGGGGACACCTACCACCACTGCCTGCACCAGCGAATTGGGCTACGTAGTTTCGACGTGCACGCGCCGCCTCCACAGCGGGGTCAACGACCTGAAGATAGTGTTAAGAGACAATGTCCCGCTAAAGTGGTTAGATAGGCACTGAGAAAGACGACGTGATTTTGAGCAGGGCACAGCTCTTGTTCTGCATCTTGGCTTGCACGTTGGCGCAGTGTAAATACATATTCAAACGCCTAGTTTGCCGTGTGCCTTCACGTAACATATTGGTGAAGGTGCTGGGTAAGCTTGAGTTTGCCCGATACCGTGATGTCCACATGCTTCGGCAATGACGGAAATGTGTCCCACTCGTTTACATCGAAAGCAAATCGGCCTGTCGTTAAGCGTCCTCCACGAATTTGGGTCACGGTTACGTGGACCAGGGCGGCGATAATGCTGTGGGTGGCTGGAGGTAGATTAACTGACAGCGTCAAGACGGAGCACAAAACAGACCATGTGAATACTCTCGTTGGCCAATTCTTGGTGAAAAACGGTCTGTATTAGCGATATGGTCGGCTGAGGATCACTCGGTGCTAGTGCTTACAAGGGTGGGGGTGATGTGGCCTCGATTTCGCGGCGTACGATTCTCGTATGTCGGAGTGTGAATTGGGCTGGCTCGCTATACGGAGATCCTCCCAAGTTGACGTCGCAGCAGTGTAGGGAAGGCGCATAAAGTGGTGGGCAATGCGACGGCTCTTAGCCTCTTGAAAGCGTTGGCACTCCAAGATGACATCTTGAATGGTGGAACAGCTTTTGAACACAAGGAGTTTAAATGCATCGTCCGCGATGCCCTTGAGCACGTGCGCTACCTTGTCGGCTTCAGCCATGGTTCGGTCAACGTTTCGGCAATGGTTCATCACATCTTGTACATACGTCAAGTAAGACTCCGTGGACGTCTGCACGCGTGTGCTGCCCCACCGTGGTGGTCTAGTGGCTGAGGTACTCGGCTGCTGATCCGCAGGTCGCTGGATCGATTCCCGGCTCTGGCGGCTGCATATCTGATGGAGGCGCCAATGTTGTAGGCCCGTGTGCTCAAATTTGGG